AAAAAGTTTTTAAAGTAGCTTAAAAAAATTTATCCATGGTGAAAATTAGCTAATGATGAAAGTATTTTTTCTCACTTGAAGTATCAAACGGGCACATGTATCTTTTTCGAGAAAATCTGTTGTTCTGTAATGTAAAACACCCAAGTATTTGTTCAGTGATAAATATTGATAGGGGAGAGACTTTTAAGTAATTTCATTTCTCAGCCATTATTCAAAATATGATTGCATATAACTAAATAACTTTGGAGTAAATTAAACAGCGTGCACAGACATGTGTATACAGATATACAGGTTAGCAAATAAAAGCAAGGACAGTGGATTTGGATCAGTTCAGTAATTTATTAGATTGTTTATGTATTCCTGTTTTATTTATAACAAGCTTTTATTTAGTAGAATAAGAATGTGTAGAACATTTAGTAGAATAAGAATAATACATGAATACACAGCCTTTTAGTTGCAAGAAATAAGATTTTGCATAGTTATTTAAAGATGCAACCATATTTATTATCTCAAACATATTCTATCTTAGTTGTATTTCTGGGGCAAATATGCATTAATTCTCTTACCTATTATTATGTCATTATAAAAATTTGATTTTATCGTGTTGCTTATATGTTCGTAACTAGAATTGGTGTCGATTCTATGCAGTGTTGATACCTGTAACTATAAGCCTCATCGAAAATATATGCATATTGGATGCCTCATCAGTGCTAAGAAGATTTAGCGATTTTTTTTTTTTTTTTTTTTTACTGGCACAATCTCAAAATTTTCATTGCCAGTATGTAATTGTTTGCATACAGCACTTTTACTAAGAAAATTATAGTTCATATAAAAAAATGCCAAGGATAATAAAACCTTTGGTAACACCAGATATACATATTGATTTGATATTATCTGATAAACATTGTAAATGAATGAATAAATTTGTCATTAAAATATTTCGGAGGAGTAAAAATACATTAAATCATTAAATGAAGAGGCTAGATGAAATATTCAAATTGTCCAGCTTCTACATTTAGTGCGACAGTAAAAAGTCTGAAAATAATATTAATTCTTTGGTAAAAATATCTTTATTTATACAAAAGTGTTGCAAATCAATCTTAAGTTATTTTTTAGAATGATATATAAAAATCTGCATGTGTATCGTGTATGCAGTGTCTTCTGGATGCATATTCGTGCAAAACTGATGAACACTGGTAGTTCGGTCCAACTTTCGATCCCGGCGAACGGGCTGACTCCATGGGTGTTTTCTTGATTTTACACATGTGTATCGTTTTAAGCACTATCTTCTGTATGCATACGTGAATAAAGCGCTAAATCTGGTAGTTCGGTCCATTTTCGAATCCCAGCAAGCGGGCTGACTGCATAGGTGTTTTCGTGATTTTCCGCATGTGTAACATGTTGGCAGTATCTTGTGAATGCATAACGTCAATAAAGCGGGTGCAGCCCGGGTAAAATCGCTGAATACTGGTAGTTCGGTCCAACTTTCGAATCCCGGCGTACTGTCCAGAAATTGTGGATGCATATGTGAATACAGCGGGCGCAGCCCAGGAAAAAAATCGCTGAACACTGGTAGTTTGCTTCAAATTTCAAATCCCGTCGAATGAAAGCGGGCTTCACTGGTAGTTCGGTCCAACTTTCGAATAAAGGCCAATGAAAGCAGGCTTCAGGCCGCTCAAATGGTGGGCTTACCCGCTAGCAATCATGCGAGCTAGCGTATATCTTGTGATTGCATACGTAAATCAAGTGACCTAACGTGAATAAAGCGGGCGCTCCACGAAAGCATCCCTTCCCTCATGTAGCGGGCTTGCCCGCTAGTGATATATAAAACTGTCCCTCTCTAGCTACATCCCTGAAAGTAAGCATTCATTCAAATATTTAACAAATAGATTTGATCATATTTTATGCATCATGCAGACTATATTTCCAGCTCTTTCATTTAAGTGCAATTTATTTCCAATGTATGAACATGAATACTGTACAAGCTTAGTCACTTATTCGTAATTTAATTCAGTTTTTATATAAAAGTTAAAATTTACCAGGCAATTGCTTAAAAAAATAGTTTAATAGTTTTGTTGCTGTAATTTAACACTTTTGATTTTAATGTTTTCAGAAATTTGCTAAATCAAGTTTATCTTCGTGTGACCTTGCATCAAAGGCACCGATAATAAATTTGTTTTGGCATTTAGTGCTAAAATTTTTAAAGAAAAACTTATTATTGATGTAAAAGAAGGAACAAATTATATTTATCTTGGTAATATGTCTTATGATATGCTTATTTACGGTGTCATGATATTGCAGTAACTTAACGGGCATTTCATATAACTTGTTTCTTAAGTTGCATAACCTGTTTTCATAACATTTTGTTATCAAATATATATAAAAGGTAAATTTCTAATGAAATATTCTTCATTTCACAGCAGTGTTATTTACTGTGATATAACGTGTGTTCACATTTATTATACGGTTATGATCATTATTCATTATAGAGCTTTATATATTTGTTATATACATTTAATTTATATCATTATGTTTTACATGATTTTGCTTTTAGAATATATCACAATATATATTTCGAGTTTGTATCATGTAATCAAAAGTTAACTGCATGTTATATGCCAGGATTGCTTTCTCAAGTACTGAGGTAGGTAATACTTAATCTGCTTTTTTTTTTTGAAATGTTTGGTCATGGTTTATTCATTGCATGTATTTTCTATAATACATACAGAATATTAATAGTTCTATTAACAAGTGTCTTTTTTCATTTTTAAGTGCTTTGCTTGTTGATATTCTCAAAATTGGATTTGATGATTAGTACTATCATATGTATAATAAATACAATAGATGCATATAATAGATCAATATATTTTTAGTATACATATAATGATTCAATATCATTTTTATGGGAAAAAAAGACACTTTTGACTGCACAGATTTTCTAGAAATCCCAAGTAAAACACATATGAAATCATTTGTTTACAATCAGTGAACGTTAAAATCAGCTACCTGTCACAATACAATAAAACAGCGACACAATTTCCTACAACAGCCAATTTCCAGTTCCTCCTTTACATGAACAAGAATTTTTTTTTTTTTTAAATTTTTATTTGTCCTTTTTGAACAATGAAATGTCCTTCGATTTCATGCGACCAGGACGCTATAGAACTTATCCTTAAATAGAAGGCCAAAACTTGTACATTGGATTTCAAGTAAAATTCCGTGCATTACAAAATGATCAGCTTTTTAAAATGCTCTCTGCTTCAGTAATACAGCGAGAATTTACGCCTCTTTGAACAAAATCAAACATTTCGGAAGAGCTAAGTAACTCCATTTTTGAATGTACGAAGTCAGATCACAAATCAAAATACCGAGTTTTATCCGCCATACTAATGTGTGAAAGCGCCATCTATAGGTGAATTGAATCGCGGATATACCTTTCTTTCGCACTTATGCTTGATTTTTCGCCCATCGGTGCAGAAAGACTTAGCGGGTGCAACAGAAGACATCTGTCTACTTTGTCTGTCTGTCTGTATAATGTATTGCAATTCATTTTCTAATGCTTTCCTTTACGAAAATAATTTAATGTTTACAATTATTTTCAGCATTCGTACGAATTCTGTGCATAAAATAAACATTTTCTTTAACTAAATACTTAATCGGAAAGTATATACCCGGTATTTACGGTGTATCTACCACATGTAAAATGATCATTTTGCTTTAGTTTACATTTTTTAGACGCGTCGGCCGATGCGTCTTGTCTCCCGGGTGACGTCACTACCAGCAACCAATGGCACGCTTTTTCCGTTCCTGGCCTAACCTTAGTATATTAAAGAACCTTGGTATTGCAATGTCCGAAAACGGTGGTGTTGAGTTCGTAAGAGAAATAGAAGTTAATTGCTGTAATCAGGAATTGAAATTTTCGCAGCGTTATGTGGGAGATGTGGGCTGCGTCGTATGGGATGCCGGTATTGTTTTGGGGAAGTATTTGGATCTCATGCAAAAAACTAACAATTTCTTGAATGGTAAATTAGTAATAGATATAGGCTCCGGAACTGGTGTCGCGGGATTATTTGCAGCTGCTCTTGGGTAATTTTCTTTGTATACAGCGTTTGGAACAGCTTTAGTATTGGTCCTATTGGCGATTTTTTGATTTGGCGACAAACTTCGGTCGCCAAGGTAGACCCAGCTTTGAAAATCGGAAAAAAATGGCGGATTGGCAACGAAACCCGATCTAAACTAAATAACAATCTTAATAGAATAATCTTCAACATTTCTAGTACTGCTTTGATAAATTCTTGAAACACTACCATAAATGAATTTATGGCTGTGATTATGTTATGAGTAATGAAATTTACAAAAAGTTAATATTTTAAATTACAAAATATTAATGTATTAAATATTAATTTAAGTAATTAGTTAATATTTATATTAGTTAATATTTTAGTATATAGCTAATAGTTTAAATTTACAAAAGGTTAATTTTTATGTTATGAATAATGAAATTTACAAAAGGTTAATAAATGCATTTCAAACTTGTATATGTTACTTTAGTTTCTTAGATTCTGTTATTAAAAGGAAATAAAAAAAAAATTCAAAGTGAAGGAAATCAAATTAAATTATAATGAGTAAATTTTGTACCAGTGTTAGAAATACTTTTTTATGATTAAATTTTGTAAATGGTAAAAATATTAAGAAGTGTGTATTTTTTAATCACTCAATTTATTACAAGTAATTTATGATTATAATTTAAAAGCTAAAATTAAATTAACATAATGAGTAAATTTTGTACCAATGGTAATCATACACAACAACAATCATCATAACTGATGATTTCTGTAAAAGATTCGAACAGTCATTGGAATCCACTACTGGTGGAGTGATAAGCCACTGAACAGTGGTAGTTCAGGCTGTCTATATGGGAGTTTTTGTGGTTTTCCTTACATGCAATGTGAATCTGAGCCAGTTTCTCTTAAAATGTCGGGGCCCACCAGCGGCCAAGCGGTGAAGTCGCTGAACACTGCTAGTTCGGTTCGAGGTTCAAATCCCGCGAACGGGCTGGCTGCATGGGCGTTTTCGTGGTTTTCCCCATGTGTAACGTGTATACGAGCCAGTTTCCCTTAGGAAGTCCTCCACGAAGGCATCCCTCCCCTTCGGCAGATAGCCTTCGAGGCTTTGCCATAATCACACACACACACTCTTAAAATGTCCTTTATGAAGGCATCCTTCAGCTAGCCAGCATATGTATTTATTTTCTATTCATAAATACTGTTCTCTCTTCTTATTTCTTAATTCTAAATCTTACTTCTGAAGTGAAGAAGGGTTGCATCTATGGGCCGAAAAATATGGTCAATATGTTTGCAAAATCCTGTTCAGTTTCGGAAAATATTAAATTAAATTTTGTATATGACAGCATTTAAATAAAATAAATAACTTGTATATGGTGCAAACAAAAGTGCATTGCACTATTTCATGTAGTGAATAATTAATCAGGAAACAAAGTATAATGTAACGTTTTTTTATTTTGTAACCAGAGTTTTTTTATGTTTGGGATCTTTACTGTCAATTTCCCTATCCCTTTTTCCCACCAAAATCCAAATGAAGTTTTTAGTTTGTAAAACAAACTGTGTTTTGCCTTTCGAGGCCACGTTACTAGGTTGCTAGATAAGATAAGATTTGTAGTCTTCAGTCCTGCATTATAATTGCTGATAGTTGAATTCCATGCCGGTTAAGTTTTGAACCAACTTTGCATTAAATTGATTTGTATAGCCTTTGGCTACAAACTTATTTGAATTTAAATTTTACATTTGAACTTAATTGTTATCATAAGTTATCTTGCCACAAGTGGTTGACTGAGTCATAAGCACAAAGTGTGCCTTCTGTTCAGTACATTTAAATTTTATAATAGAATAAGAGTATATCTTAATAAAAATATATCTAAACTTTATAGTAATTACATTTAAGGACATTGAAATCAGTATCTAAGTGCTTGCCATGTAGTCAAATTTTTTATATATAAATTGTACTCTTAACTTTTATTATAGAATTTTTATTACAAACAATTCAGATTTCTGTTAGATTAAATGTTTAAGTTTGAAGAAAATTTGCATAAAATTTAAAATAAAAAGTCAACTGTTATGTCAACATACTATTAATAAAAGTAATAATACCCAGTGAAAATTATTCATATACAGCTATTAGATTGTGAGATTTATAAAATTTGAGAACTGTAAATTATAAGCAATATATTCCATAATCTAAGCAAAATTATATTTTTCATAGTCGGACAAATTATAAAAATGTTATAAAAGCAATAATGAAACTTAATTTTGGTCTATGAATTCATGCAGTTACACATCCCTATAGTTCTAATTTAAGAAATGAGGCAAAAAAGTATTTTAAGACCATGATAATATTGATCATGGCTCATTTTAAGAAACATCTAAGAAGTCTAAATTTGAATGTGGTTCTTTAGCAAAGGAAACACCAAGAGTTTACCTCATGCTACTAAAAATGTGTTTATTTTAATTTGGAGGGAGAATGGAGTTTATAATATGCAGAGTTGACATATGAAAAAATGTTAAGACCACATGCGTAGCTAAGGTTTTCGGCTTCCAGGGACAACTGAAGATTTTGCACCCCTTTCTTTGTGCCAAGAAAGGAAAAAATTTCATTCTAAAATTTTATAACATCAATTTCGCGCCCCCTGAATTCTGTGCCCGGGGACAGATGTCCCCCCTTGCCCCACCCTAGATACGCCACTGGTCGAGACTCATGTTATGTAATATTAAAAGTATCAGTTTTAACTATCAAATTTTGGCTTTCTTAAAAATATTTTAAATGTTGTGCTTTACTAACATGAAAGTAACTTTAAGGAAAACATGCAGTTTATCCCTCCTGCCATCACAGCTGTGATACCTACCAAATTTGTTAAAGTTACATGGGCAGAAATGGCGGCATATTTTTCAGCTCAGTATTTAGGGGTACCATAAATATCAAGGTTATCATAATTTTTCATTTATCGTGCCAAAACAATTTCTCGCCAAAAAGGACTAATACTAAAGCTGTGCCCAGCGTTTTTTTTTTTTAAATTTCTTTCCCCTCTTTTCTTTTAATGCACTTTCCTTACATTGTTGTTTCAGATTGTAATTAAAAAATAAAGAAACCTCCTTGCACACACCCGAAAAAGGAAAATAGATAATTCTCGTTGTAAGAGTGGCTGCTTCTGTTGAGTAAATTACTCATTTCTCTTATTTTTTTGAGAGAATAATAAAAGAACTATGAAGAATGACAGGCTAATTCTCGGGCTGTGAGATTTTGAACCTAGATGGTAATTGTGTCTGCCTCTCCGGCATCGGTCTCTCGTTGCCAGTGTCATCCGTTTGGTATTGTGCAAACTCGATTTCTTACCGCTAAATATTCTAATGCTACAAGAGAAGAAGAATGTACTGACCAAGAGCATTCTTATAGAAGCAACATTGCACTTAAATTATGCACTTGAAAAAATGAAAGCATTCATTTTACAGCAGGAAATAATTTTCAGAACGAAATTAAATTATTTTCGGGTGTGTTGTTCATTGTTCATTATTCATTATTTTCGGGTGTGTTGTTCATTTATGTGTTAATTGATATGAACTTTTGAGCTCGAATCTCAGATAAGGGATGCATATTTTTAGTTGTTATGTCATGGAGTAAAGGCATATGAAATCTGTTTGTGCACATTTCTTGAGTGATTGGCAGCAAGCTAATGAATCTCAAATTCTATCAGCTAGAATGATGTCAGTCAAAATCAAGTTTGAGCAGAGGCAGACTGTTGTGATGTTGTTCAGAATAAGGGCAATTAAAATCTGCCAGTGCAGACAGTATGTTAGTAGTTGAATAAGATTTTCAGGTTCCATGTCCTGGGATGCTGTCAGTCAAAATGAAGTTTGAGTTGAAGCAGATTGTTCTTTTGCATTGTCTTTAAATTAAATTAAGCAGTCCTGTCCCACTTTCATATATGTGTGTGTATAAACATACACATATATTTGTACATGCATATGTGAACACATCCATCCACATCCATGCATACATACGTACATCTCTGAATCTGATACCGATAGCAGAACAGTACCAAATAGTTATCACATTTAGTTGTATAATTTCAGTGCACTTAAAATGTATATCTAGTAAAATTTTATGTATAAGTTTATAATACTTATAAAGTAATTTTTTTGTGTGTTTTTGTATAATGTTAGAAGATATATATGAATCAGTACTGTAACTAGGATTAAATTTCAGGGAAGCTGTGATTTGTATCAAAAACCAAATCTTTTATAATTATATTCTATTTATAAACTGAAATTTAAGTTTCAGGGCAAAGGCTGCAACCCCGTCAGGTCCCTACACTAATTATGCCATGATGTGAATTGTTTCTTTTAAATAAAATTGGAAATTATGTAATAATTTAATCTGTGTCTTAAATTCCTAATAAAAAAAAGTCACTAGAAAGAAAAACTAAATAAATTCACTAAAAGAAGTCATTTTAGGAAGTTAGACAGTGTACTTAACTGGCCTTGAAAGTTACTAATTTTATAAAATCTGGCACTGAAAATTAGTGTGACTATTTTAGGAGTGATGTTTCTGTTCCAAGAAGTTTCACAGTTAAAGAATGAGGTATTGTTTAAACAAAAAGGCTACCGTATCCTTTATAACTTGTTCTATAATTTTGTTCTCAGTATATCTGTGGCGTTCCGACAGATACTTCAACTTCTATTCATGAGATGGCGCCACGTGTAAAATCCAGTTCTTAATCGGAGCAGCAAAGCGACATCATTACTCACTCAGACTTCTCGTCAGACAACTCTACGCGACGGTAGCATGAACTGTGTTCCGAGCTCTGCGTTGATCTTTGCAACGTAATTTAAATTGTAATTTAGTACTTAATATATTCTTTTGTTATAGGAGATTGTCTACTCTTATTTTCTTTAATATATCATGCATTAAGCACACGACCACCAAAAGTGGTGACCTTTTGACTGAGCACGCTACTGACAATGGATTTTCAACGACCCTAAGCCACGTGCATCCAAGGCATTCTGAAGAACTGA